TGTCACTCCGGAGAACCTAAACCTATGCACTATGTTGAGTACAAATCATTTTGTGAAATCTTTGAAATACCAAATTAATCTCCCCTTTGGATTTCATTAGACATACCCAAGTCAGCCTTGTTTAGTCATCAATAAAAATAACAAACCAACAAGATCCTTCTAAAGTAGTAACTTGTAATGGCCCCCAGACATCAGAATGTATAAGCATAAAAGGATTTGAACTTCTATTCAATTTTATAGGAAATGAAACATGATCACTTTTTAACAGTTTACAAACATCACAGCGAAAGTTATTGATATCATCAATTTTTTCAAACAAGCTTGGAATTTTTTTTTTTAAGTAACCGAACGAAGCATGTCTGAGATGGCGATTTCATAACCAGATGTCAGATTTCTATTTATCCTTTTTAGAGCAATCTATTGTCAAAGCTTGTTGTAACATGGCATAATTTTTTTACTCCAAATCCAAGTAATACAACTTCCCTCATCTAATACCACAACAAATCATCTGTTTTGATTTTGAATGCTTTTAAAGTTACAAAATTCAAGCAAAAAAAATCAACACACAAGATAAGACTTTAGTTATTTTGGAAACTGACAATAAGTTATGATTCTAGGATGGAACCACTAAAACATAATCTAAGTGCAAAAGTTTTTTGAGGGTTAGTGATCATTCCCCAATGACCCGGGTGGACTCACCATTGGTAGAAACAAACTTTTGTGAGGATGATTTAAGGTTAGAAACATGCCAAGAATCAAATGTCATATGATCGGTAGCACCAGAATCAATTATCCGTGCACTATTAGAAACAAATGTACACATATGTAAAGACTTATCATCATTTCCAACAATGACTACAATTGATGAGGATTGTTTGACATCTTCTTCCTTTTCCACAACAGCATTAGTAAAACTTCTCTTTGAGTTTTCCTTCCTTTTATCACGACTGTAATCCTACCAGTTTGGATATTCAACCAATTCAAAACATTGGCTTTTGGTATGACCATGTTTGTTGTAGTGAGTGGCCCAGTCTGCCATTTTTTTCTACTTTTTATATTTTTTTGAATTTGTTTACTCTTTTTTTGGTAAATGAGATAAAAAAAAAAAAATTAAGGAGAGAGTTGAAACACAAACTCTCTAAATTTCAATGACGATATGGAGTGACGATAACAGCAATATGATGGTGTCACATCAATGTCATTGGTGTCAGATCAATGACCTTGGCTTGTCGGTTTGGTCTTCTCGGCGATGACAATAATAGATTGGCAGATCGGTGACAACTTCGGATGATGAAGTGGCAACAGATCGACTTCTTCTCCAATGATGATAGCAACAGATCAGCACATTGGGCTTCTTCTCCGGCAATGGTAGCAACATACCACAAAGATTTGATTGGCGTTGGAGACGATTCTATTTGGTGTCACGGGTTTTTTTTGGCGTCAGCTTTGGACTTTCGACAGTCGGTTTCTAGGAAACTTGTTGTAATAGCTATTGCTAGAATCGGTTGGCTATTAGAATCTTGTAATAGTTGCAGAAACTTGTTTTTCGATTGGCTGAAGGTGGTTGGACTTTTTCTTGGCTGGAATTTTTGGAGTTGTTTGGCGTCAACTTGGTGCTAACTTTATTTAGAGTTTGGAGTTTTTTTTTCTTTGGTATTTTGGGTGTTTGTCGTGGCCAAAGTTGGTGGTTGGATGGTTGTGTTTGATTGGATTTTAGTGTTTGGGTTGCGGTTGGGATTGATTGGATTTAGTGTTTAGGTTGCAATCGTTTTCTCCTTCTTGGACTGACGATGGCTGGAGGGATGGTAACTGTCGATATATTTTTCCTACAGTTGCTATGTGATAAGCAATTCTTTATATGAAGAACAGGGCCCTGATACCATGTTTGTTTGAAGAATTTGATGTTTCAATTAATTGATTTTCACTAAAGAGTTACTTGGCTTTATATAGGGAGTATTCAATCTATTGAATCTTTTAATTATGTCAGTTACAGATTACACAATATACTAACATAATTAAGAGATTATAAAATATCAAGAATATTATGAGTATCTTAAATCTGACAAAATAATATTCATGAAATCTTAACACCTAAAGGGATTTGAACCTGAGACCATACACCTTAAACACATATCCCAGCGCGCGTCCTCCTACTTGAGCTACCCAAGGGTGGGTTTATTAATCATATCCAATTTTATCTAATTATAGACTATACCAAGATATAAGATAAATATTATTTATATTCAAACCTAAATCATAAAGAAGGAAAAAAAATGTATGATACAAACTGCTTTTTCAAAAGCTTAACTTTTTATACTGAACTCTTTTTCTTGTGGAAAATTAAATTTAAATATTAATATTGAGTTATTTTTCGATAGCTTAGACTTTTTTTATCTTAAATATTGAATACTTTTTCAATAACCCAAACTTATTAATTTAACCTTTAAAATTAGACACTCTTGAAATATATGGGAGTACTCGTATAATAGTTATACAAGATATTATTTACAATTATGCAAATTAAATAAAATGAAAATGTAATATAGGATTGTACAGTAGAACTTCTCTATAGTTATAATGTTAAAACCAACTAAATTTATTACTATGAGGAGGTTATAACTTAATAGAGGTGTAGTTACAAGAATTATTGTTTTGATTTAAAAAATTATTGTATTCATTAATTTCTTATTTTATAATTCATGTTTTAGTAGTATTATGATTTCAATTCATTATTTTAATAACATTAAAATAGTTCGAAAATTGATATCAAAGAGTCATTGCTAAATTAAGTGATCAAATTCGACAACTTCACTACACTAATAAAATGAATATTAATATCTTACTTAATCATCCAAATGAGCAATAAGTCGTGTATGCTTTAACTGAAAAATAAATCGTTATTAGAATTAGACAAGAAGAGGTAGGAGATAATCTTGAGGATGATAGTATGAAAATATCAAAAGTTTCATGCCAAAAAGCTCTAAATATGCTTGAGAGCTAGAAATATTTTGGCTTCAACAAAAAGACATCTATACAGGCGACTTATTACGTATCTATAAGATAAAAGATATGATAACAACTTTAAAACATAAATCATAGTCCCAAACAACTTTAGATAAATATTTTATTTCATCTTAAACCTTTAATATAACATAGTATATATTTTTTGTAATATACATATAATTATTTCTATGTAGAGGCAAGTTCTTTAAGGGGAGACTTAAAAAAATTATAACTTGTTATAATGTGAAATTTATTCTTATTTATAACTGGTTCAAGTTGGGACCATAATTTTTTATGACTATATAGAGATTATTGCTATATAGAGACCATAATTTTTTATAACTATATAGAGATTATTGTTATATAGAGTATCACTATAAAAATGTTCTACTGTATCTCAACTTCTTTTTATGCTCTATTATTGTTCTATGGTCTGAAATTATTCAGATGGGCCACATTCTTATGTTTATTTTAGGGATTTGTCACTTCATAAATTGACCAAATATTAAGCTGATTGAAGAGGTGTCAATTAAACCTTTTCTTTTTTTTGGTTTATATGTCCCACTATGCTTCTTGTTTCTTTATCATTGATTAATCCCAAATTTTTTCAAATAAGTGACACATATTATATAGTTTGATTGAGATGTTATAATCATTCACTTGTGAATTGTTTGATGGAACCTTTAATTCTTGTATTTATATTTCCTTGATTTACAACCATACCTTTAATATTATTTTAATTAGCTTTTCTTCTTTTTCTTTTTCAAGAATTAATTAATACAATATTAATAATTTCGATAATGTCTCATCAAACTTTTCTTCTCTTTTTACTGTTTCTTCTCTTAAAATTATTATTATAAGTTTTTTTTTTTTATATTAGAGAATATTCGTTGAATTAATAAAGAATAAATATTGCTGACTTTCTTATAGTATGATCTAAATACAAATAACCCATATGATTAATTTTCATCATAATTTTTTTTAAATTAATATTTTATTTACTAAAAATTTCCCAATTTTCTCAAATTTGCTTTAAAATCTTTAATGATATTTATAAATAATTCTCAATATATATGATGGGAAAATGAAAGAGAATGAGAATAATACAGTTGAAGAGATAAAAGGATCTTGAAATCCAACTTGGCTTGCAAATAGGAAATGATAATGAACACTTGAGATTTCCAATTGGACATTGAATTTGAAGGTAGGCCACCCACTAAAAGAAAATTAAAATTAAAAACAAATCAAAAGAAAGAAAGATTGGAATCATGGGATTCAAGAGGTTGTGGCACTTAAAGTCCCTATTAATGCTCTGTTCTGTCCACATTCATTGTTATCAATTGGCCCAATGTTAATGGAGATGTAACCTAAAGCCAATACAACACTGCAAAGTGCATTTTCAAATTGCAAGGTATATGTTCTATGAGGAATTTTTTCTATATTATCCACTTAGTTTAGATAATAAAAAATATTCAACCACCAAATATTTAATGGTCGACCCATTAGGATTCACAACATAAAACGTAAGATTAGTCTACATCTAATGTTAGGCTTTTAAGATTCTATTGAGCTGGATATGTACAGGCTACCAAGCCTGGAAGCCCAAAAGATAAACGATACTGCAGAACAGAAGATCTAAAGATGCAGAAGTCCAGAATCCATATCACATTGACTTAAGTTGGAGAATCAGTCATAGAAGCTCATGCAAAGAGAGCTCAAGAGGGTTGCAAAACTTGGCTATTTCGATGTCCAGCAAATAATATTTGAGATATTTTCACCACTAGAAAACCCAACAGATTCAGCTTTACTTCTGGGTTGTTGCCTTTGTGCTGTTTTTAGGTTGATTTCGATTCACACATCCCAACTCAAACTACATTAGCTAATGGCATGTTTAAAATGATCTTAAACAGGAAAACTCTTCACACATTTCCTTCTAAAGTACCCAGCAAGAAAATATCAGACTTGGAAGCTGTAGATAAAGAATCATAATCATTCATTAAAAAATTGCAGTCAACTGCAAGTGCCCAAAAGCTGTACATAAAAAAAAAAAATGGATTTCAATTTCTATGTAATTTGAAAAGAATATGATTAAACAGCACATACAACCTGTATCACATTTTACCACAAATCCGTGAGGTTCTCATTTTCACCCACAATCTTATTCTCTCACTAAGCTACAACATTTCGATAACACACTGTAAGTGCATATCTTGGCATCAAAGTATGGCCATACATCCGAGTGCCATGCTATCAGTGGAAAACTAGTGGGTTGAATCACAAAGGGAACTCGGGTAAATGTAATATCAGCACTCCTGATCTCTATCCATGGTATAAACAGGTATTTGCCAATTCTTGGTGTTCTTCTTTGGATCATCAGTCAGGCTGAGATCATTTTCATCCTCCTTGTATGTGTTAATGAATGTTTTGGCTCCAACCAAGACAAGCCTCTCAACCATGAATAACTGGTAGTTATTCTCAATCACAGGATCCAGGATCTGACTAAAGTTTGATGAATATGCTAATTTGTATCTGCAAATATCAGTCACCAAAAGTCAAGGTCAACTTCACCACAGCATGAAAGTTTTTACCAAAATTTGATGTTACGTTAGAGCATTATTCAAATAATTAAACTCCTAGAGACCTTATATGAACTCGAGTATTTACCTGACGGAGAGTGGTGAAAAGAATCCAGGTGTTCTCTCATTTGAAGCAATAAAAAGGGTTCGTCCAGGTGGAACCCATTCTTTAATCCTGCAGAGAATAAACTCTGGGCGTGTATCCCTGTCCAGATGAGGATGTAGGGTTCTTTCAACCCCATTCTTGTCCTTCCTGGTTTTCAGTATATCACCTCTACGAACATGCATGGCATCATAATCACCAAGGAGTGCCTTTATCTATAGACATGAAATTTGTCAGGGCCTAAATAAACTATGAAATGGAATGAGCATTATGGTAGTCTTTTTCTAAATGCCAAAACTTAAAAAAGCCGAAGCAAAGAGAATTACAGAGTCTGCTAAAGTGTGCAAGCTTCAATACCAGTCTAAATACGTATATGATATGTTTTTTTCAAATCCATCAAAATTAAATCATCCTCCATTCCCTTGGCCAATCATAATAACAGAAAAACAGTGATGTAAAATTATCTTTAGATATGACAGCCCTCATCCCAAATAATTTTGGTTGGCAATAGATAAGGCACTGGTAAAAGTTATCAACTATAGTTTAACGCCTTTGGCGCCTTCCACTTTCTTGTGCTGCATATTAACCAGAAGCAATACTATACAATTAATTTGATGCTTTAAAACATTAAAAATGAAGACTTCACATGCATCTTGATGAATTTGACAAATAATGGCCACCCTAAACATGCCTCCAAAATAACGAAATGTCTTCAAATTTTCAAACTATCAGCCAATGTTACTTTACACAACTACTTCAAATTTGACAAGCCAAATCTACTCCACTATATTGCAAATCATATCTTCAATAAATAATGAGGTTTAGAATTCATCAATAATTACTTTAATTTTTCTCTTTTCGAGATAAATAAATTCTTTCAAGTAGAACTAGCAGACATCTTCGGACTTCAATAGAACCATAAAGATTAGTTCTCATATTTTACAACCTACAGGAGCCAATCTTATTTGCCTCCACATATGCAGGCCACTAATCCCATCCTTCTTTATTAGTCATCAAACCACCAAAGCAACGAGATCTTACTACTTAATTCTTAACATGCCATTCTTGGCTTGACAGATGGTAATATGAATTTCTATACTAGATTCAATTTAATGCAAACTCTACAAAAGTATGACTTGAGAACCCGACTTTATCACCCTCCCCATCTATGAAAAAAATATAGTCATACAAATTTCTATATTTGATTTGGTTCAATGTCGGCTCTACATAAGGATGATATGAAATTAAGCTTATCACCTTCCCCATCTATGAAAACAGTATTAAAGCTCCTCAGAATTAGTCACAACCTCATAAATTATTTATTAAATAAAATTTTACATGACACAAAGCATCAAGGAATGTAAGCACTAGTCCATTGGTATGTTTTCTCACTAGCACAGATAATCAAGAACTTCCTTTTCCCCCTTTTAAAAAATTAAAAAATTGATGGCATTATACATAACAAACCTGTTCAGCTGCATCCCTCAATTTTTCTGCAGCCATTGATGGAAGAAATGAATGTGGCAGCAGTATAGCACTCCGGTTTTTTCGATCCTTGCATTCCATGAACCTAAATGACAAAGATAATTAGTGTGCAAAACTTGCAAGATACAAAAGCTTAACTCATCCATAAGAAAAGCAACAACTTCCATTTTGCAACAAGCAAAGGCATTCAAAATATTAACTCGTTAATAAAGAATAGCGACAACTTGCATTTTGCAACAACAAATGGCTAAAAAAAGGAACAATGTCTTCAACATCTTTTAAAATGGAAAAGACTAACGTAAATTCAGATAAATGATCCAATTCAAACTTAATGGGATAGTTAAAGACTGTCAACCAGAGAGACAACTACACTAATTTAGGATTATCAAAGCCAATCATTTGATTAAACTCAAGTACACGGCAACATGTCACAATTAAGCTCTTAAAAGAAGGACACAAAGGTTAGTAACAAGAAAAAATTCCCAATAGTATGGCCACTTTCTCCAAATCAATCAAATGCCTCATATTTTCATTAAGAACACACAAACAAGGCAAATTCAAATATTCATAAAGCATGTCAATATAAGATATCTTCCTTTTCTATTAAAAAAAAAATAATAAAATTAAGTGCCCAGAATATTATGAGTGACCTACAATGAAAGACAAGTACATGGTTTTCCAAACTCAGTTACTTAATACTACTAAGACAAACCAACTATAAGATTCTGAGTCTTACAAAAAGGTGGCAACTGAAAGCCAGCATAACAAAAATATATCAAATTACCATGACAGGGGATTAGCAGTTCGATTGATGAGCAAGAGATTTGAGTAGCGAGTATCATTTCTGAGATCAACTCGACTAACGCCTTCCACATGTGCAACCCCTCTAGCTCCCAACTTCATACTTGTCATTAGTACCCGATACCACATTTTCGAATCGTCTAGAATCACCGGTACAGTTTCAGATATAAGATCCACATCGTACAAAGATTCAATAGCACAAGAGTTATCTGCCCGCCTACCATATGAAAAGGAAGCAAGTTCAGATTATGCAATTCCTTTTTGTCAACTGACAATAAGTTTAGAAGATCATTAGTGATAGAGATTTCTTTCACAAAACAATGCACCTGATTTTGGAAAATCACCCAACTTTAGGGAAAAAACTTCAATAAATTACCTTTCCTCTGAACTTTTATTGTCAGATTGATGAAGAATGCCTTTCGCATTGTGCATCGGATTGATACAGATCCTAGAAGGCATAACTAAAGTTCTGCAACAATTAGAAACTAATAGGAGTAAAACACTAAACAAAAATACACAGATAAGAGAGAGAGAAACGAACCAATCAACTGTTCATTACATAGTAACAAAGATGCTTAATGAAACTGGTGCCACTTAACATCTTATAATAATTTTAACTTAAACTTCAGTTCCTCATAATCAAATGTGAAGCCACTGCTGAGATCCCAGCATTCAAATCCCTAACTTTCTTTACTAAAACTAATCAGCAACTCAAATTCACCTAATCTTCCTAACTTTCTGGACTCAATTCCCCAATAAAATAAACAATTCAACAGAAAAATCCCACAAGCTCAAAAGGGTTTCAATCAAAAAGTTACCTTTTCAAAAACATGGCTTCTTCAAGGGCACACCTGAGGCTAGATTCTTGATGACCAAGGCCAGCACAAGGTTCACAGACTTTACCGGGGCAGTCAATTCTGCCACCCCAATACAAGTACTTTTCATGAAGAGTGTGTTGTCTCTTGTTCCTGGGTCTTTTTAAGTTTCTGAGGGAGAATGAAGAAGAGAAGGAGAAGCCATTTATTGAGAAAAGAGCGGAGAACATGCAAAGAAACGCAATGACTGATAAGAAGATGAGGAGAATCAAAATTGTGGATCTGGGTTTTGGCTTCAGCTTCAAGGTTTTGGGAGTTGTCGCCATTGGAGCTAAAGGATGAAGGGAGAAACCCACAACTGAGAAGAAGAAAATGAGTGATGCTTGGCTTTGCTTGATTACAGATTTGAGTTTTGGGCTTCATACTTCCATAGTCAACAACCAATTTCCCACAGGTTTCCTTTATTAAATAAAAATTCAGTTATTAAGTTNTGAGTGACCTACAATGAAAGACAAGTACATGGTTTTTCAAACTCAGTTACTTAATTCTACTAAGACAAACCAACTATAAGATTCTGAGTCTTACAAAAAGGTGGCAACTGAAAGCCAGCATAACAAAAATATATCAAATTACCATGACAGGGGATTAGCAGTTCGATTGATGAGCAAGAGATTTGAGTAGCGAGTATCATTTCTGAGATCAACTCGACTAACGCCTTCCACATGTGCAACCCCTCTAGCTCCCAACTTCATACTTGTCATTAGTACCCGATACCACATTTTCGAATCGTCTAGAATCACCGGTACAGTTTCAGATATAAGATCCACATCGTACAAAGATTCAATAGCACAAGAGTTATCTGCCCGCCTACCATATGAAAAGGAAGCAAGTTCAGATTATGCAATTCCTTTTTGTCAACTGACAATAAGTTTAGAAGATCATTAGTGATAGAGATTTCTTTCACAAAACAATGCACCTGATTTTGGAAAATCACCCAACTTTAGGGAAAAAACTTCAATAAATTACCTTTCCTCTGAACTTTTATTGTCAGATTGATGAAGAATGCCTTTCGCATTGTGCATCGGATTGATACAGATCCTAGAAGGCATAACTAAAGTTCTGCAACAATTAGAAACTAATAGGAGTAAAACACTAAACAAAAATACACAGATAAGAGAGAGAGAAACGAACCAATCAACTGTTCATTACATAGTAACAAAGATGCTTAATGAAACTGGTGCCACTTAACATCTTATAATAATTTTAACTTAAACTTCAGTTCCTCATAATCAAATGTGAAGCCACTGCTGAGATCCCAGCATTCAAATCCCTAACTTTCTTTACTAAAACTAATCAGCAACTCAAATTCACCTAATCTTCCTAACTTTCTGGACTCAATTCCCCAATAAAATAAACAATTCAACAGAAAAATCCCACAAGCTCAAAAGGGTTTCAATCAAAAAGTTACCTTTTCAAAAACATGGCTTCTTCAAGGGCACACCTGAGGCTAGATTCTTGATGACCAAGGCCAGCACAAGGTTCACAGACTTTACCGGGGCAGTCAATTCTGCCACCCCAATACAAGTACTTTTCATGAAGAGTGTGTTGTCTCTTGTTCCTGGGTCTTTTTAAGTTTCTGAGGGAGAATGAAGAAGAGAAGGAGAAGCCATTTATTGAGAAAAGAGCGGAGAACATGCAAAGAAACGCAATGACTGATAAGAAGATGAGGAGTATCAAAATTGTGGATCTGGGTTTTGGCTTCAGCTTCAAGGTTTTGGGAGTTGTCGCCATTGGAGCTAAAGGATGAAGGGAGAAACCCACAACTGAGAAGAAGAAAATGAGTGATGCTTGGCTTTGCTTGATTACAGATTTGAGTTTTGGGCTTCATACTTCCATAGTCAACAACCAATTTCCCACAGGTTTCCTTTATTAAATAAAAATTCAGTTATTAAGTTTTAACTTTTAAGTATTAAAATAATCAGTAAAATATTATTTTTTACTAATATTTTTATATTTTACTTAATTACATAATTATTTTACCTATATAAACCTATATTTTCTCAAATTTCTCTCACTTTAAACAATTAAACAAGAACGAACCTTAACCTATACTTATGTAAAATTAATTATATTTAAACGATTAATTTAAATGTTTATCATGTAAACAAGAATTAATTATTGTATTTAATAATGTTCAAATTAATTTATATTTATATAAAATTAATCAGACGGGACGGATCTCCAATATTCTCCTTTGATGTGAGAAAGGAGAATTTTGAAAGGGGTGAGAAGTGATTTTGAGGACAGGATGGGTATAGCGAATAAAATCTCCACCCTTTCTCGCCCCATTGCCATGCCTATTATAGATTTGTTATATATCAAATCTCCTTGTGTATATTTTTAACTCTGGGCCTGGGCTTTATATAGTTTTGTATATAGACGTAAAACCCTCGTATATTTTCGAAATTACAGATAGCACAGAGAAAAAAATTTAATTGTAGGTAACCCCCGATGTTGATGGTCCGCTTGGTTTTACTTTTGCCATTAAAAAAGTGTCGGATCCAGAAAAGACAATTATACCCTTCTCTTAATGTAATTATATTTTGTAGACCATTTTAACCTTATATAAGGCTAGAAATACCGAAAATTCCTCATATTAGATGAAGACAGTTGGCAAGAATTTGACGGGCTACAGAATACAGATTACTAAATGATTACACTGCAATGACTAAAATGCCACTATATATTATTGTTTTTTTTACTTTAAAAACTTTTTGGCCTTCAAGTTTAACAACACCACAAACCTCTCCTCATCTCCATATCAGTTCATCAAAAACTCAAATTTGCTTTACCCATTACAAAGCAAAACGAAAACTCTGAGAAGTGTTACAAGAAGTGAATCAAGCAATATAAAAAATTAATTTATATTCACATTAGGCAGAGGGTAAACATGAAGAGGATTTAATTGATATTCACAATAGAGTACTTGCATGGTGAGATGCAAACTGAAATTCAAAAAATTAGGCAACAACATGCATCTAAAAGGAACTACACACATCTGATTTTCGTGTACATAGTCATATTTGTTCAGGCATGTGTAATTTATTTTTTGAAATGATTGTAATAAGAGGATTATGTTAGTATTGACAATAAAATGATTGAAATATCTTATTAGCATTATAAGAACGCAACTGAACACCTGTATAAAAGTTAACAGTAAATATCTATTACACAGACTTGTTTTTCAACCAAATAAATCCTAACATATTGAACAAAAAATGGGGTCAAACTATGATAGCCTGATAAGTTGCATAAATTTAGTCTTTTTAGGTTTGTTTTTATAGCCTTCTAGTTAATTTCTCATTTGTTTCCTTTGTTTTGATATTAATTTTCGTTAAGTTTGAGATGTAAATGATCAGCTATTGATTTGGAGAATTTTTGTGATTTTCAGGCTTTAATTGAGTAGATTGGAGCATTAGAATGAATGAAATTGGGATTCAAAGCTTGAAGAAATTAAGATTAGCTTACAATTTTGAAGGCGATGGCCATGCCTTGGCGGTTCACCACGGCCATGGTGGTGGAATGAGAATAAAATATCAAGGATAGGAAGCACCATTGCCTAGGCCGTGGTGACATACATTTGGACACGGCCAGGGCCGTGTTGGACACTTTTAGAGTTTTTTTTTTTTTTTTTTTAGTTTTTCTTTTCTTGTTTTCTTATGACTCTTTTGGGTATTTAAGTGTGGTTGAGATTACTTGTTAGAGGCCGAATTTTGCCTATTTTTGGAGAAAGCTTATTGTGTAACAAAAGAAAAATGAGAATCAAGAACAAAATTCATCACAGAGTTTGTTTTTACTTTTTCAATATGATTTATTTCTTGAATTCTGCTCTTATTTCTTTTATTATGAACTAATTTTCTCAAGCTAAGACTAGGGTTAGTCTATTTATAGATCTGTGATCAATCTTTTGCTCTATGGTCATTGAATTATTTTTCTAATGATGAGCTTATATTATGTGCTTAATGCTATTAGGAACCTGATCAATTTTTGATAGCATTGTTTTGTGTGATTGAGACACAGAGGAGATATCACATGAGTGCTCTAGTAATATAGGTCATGGATTAATTGGATATAGAGATATATGAATTGATACATGCAATAGTCATAGGCAGGATTAACTTGTGCTGAAAGCTAAAGGATTTCATAAAGATTAATGCTCGTCTATTTCATTAAATCTATATAGAGATATCTAGGTTGTGAGATAGAAGTGGAATTCATATTGCTTGAGAAAGAATATTGGTGAACCTAGGAAATCCCGTTGTCACATTAATTAAATAAATTCATTGACCAAAATAAATTGAGGGGTGCAAAGAAGTTATAGATGAGCCTGAAGTTTTAGCTATTTCTCTCATTGAATTCTTAAGTTTAGTTTTCTTGCAACCGTCCGTTTCTAATATTTTAGCTATTGATATTTTCAGTTTTAAAGATCACATTTCTAAGTTTTGATTATCTAGATAAAGTTAAGTCTAATTAACATTTCAATACTTGTTTATGCAATAACCTGTACTTTGTTATACTATATTACTTGAGACTAGTGCACTTGCTAGTAGTTGTTTCAAACGACACAAGAAGTTTTTGGTGCCATTGTCGAGGATTGCAATTAGGCAATATTGAAATCATTAGTTTAGCTTTACTTTAGATCTTGTTCCATTTTTTTATATACATATATAATTTTTTTTCAAGTTTTCTTGTTTTCATATTTTCTAGTGTATGACACACACTAGACGAAGATTAGAGATTCTTGAACCTTTTGACCTAGAAATTCAGAGAACACTATAAGCATTGAGAAAAAGGCAAGCAAGGAACATGACAGACGACAACAATAATAATAATAAAGTGATTCCACTTTTGGAGAATCTCGCAGAAGCTGCAACCCCACAATCTTTAATGGATTATGCAATGCCGCCATTGAGTGGCACTTCTTCTAGCATTAGGAGGCCAACCATTGTAGCAAATAACTTCGCAATTAAATCTACAATTATTCAGATGATTCAGTCAGCCTGTCAATTCAGTGGTTTAGCCCACAAGGATCCAAATGCTCACATTAGAAATTTCTTGGAGATATGTGATACATTCAAGTAGAATGGTGTCACAGACGATGCAATTAGATTAAGACTTCATTGAGAGATAAAGCCAAGAATTGGCTAAATTCTTTGCCTGCAGAATCTATTACAACTTGGGATGCATTGGCTCAACGCTTTCTAGCTAAGTATTTTCCTCCCTCTAAAACTGCGAGGATGCGTAATGATATCACTAATTTTATGCAGGTAGATGGAGAGTCATTATATGAAGCATGGGAGCATTACGGAGAGTTGTTGAGGAAATGCCCGCATCATGGACAAACTTTTTATAATGGTTTAATTCCTACTAACCGTTATATAATTGATGCAACTTCAGGAGGCACTATAATGAAGAAGACACCAGAAGCAGCATATGAATTATTGGATGAGATGGCTTCAAACAGTTACCAGTGGCAGTCAGATAGAGTGCCACAAAGGAAGGTTGCAAGATTATATGGAATGGACGCTATTACAACAATTTCTGCTCAATTAGAAGCATTGAACAAAAAGATTGATAATATGAGTGCCCCAGTCATACAAGTGAAAAGCATTAGTTGTGATCTATGTGGAGGTAACCATCCTAGCAATGAATGTCAGGTAGGTAATCCGTTTGCTAATTATGCTAAAAGTGCTAATTCTGTTGGTATTTTTCACAGGCAACAATAGAATAACCTCTACTCCAGTACTTACAACCCTGGTTGGTTGAATCACCCAAATTTTTAATGAAGCAATCAAAATGCCGTGAAACCACCACTTCGGGTTTTCCTCTTCAAGAAAAGAAGCCCAATTTGGAGGAACTAGTGACGAAGTTTGTAAGCTCCACTGAAACAAGATTTCATAATTAAGAAGCTTCGATCAGAAATTTGGAGACTCAGATGGGGCAGTTGGTGAATTTGATATCAAGGAGAGTTCAAGGAACATTGCCAAGTGACACAGAGAATAATCCCAATGAGCATGTGAAGGCAATTACACTAAAAAGTGAAAAGGAAATTGGGCATAAAGAGCAAGAGAAAGAGGAAGCACCTAAAATGCAACTAGACAACATTGCTAAAAAGTTGCTTGAACCTAAGAAGATAGAGATTCAACCTCCTTTCCCTCTTGCATTGAAGAAGCAGAAAGTTGATCAGCAATTTGCAAAATTTTTAGATATTTTTAAGAAATTGCATATTAATATTCCATTTGCAGATGCTCTTCTTCATATGCCTAGCTATGCAAAGTTCTTGAAGGAGATCCTTTCCAACAAGAGAAAACTAGAAGAGCGAGAAACAGTAAAACTCATTGAAGAATGTTTAGCAATTTTGCAAAATAAATTGCCACCAAAATTAAAAGATCCAGGGAGTTTTACAATACCTTGCATTATTGGTTCACTTTCCTTTTCCAAAGCTTTATGTAATTTAGGTGCTAGCATTAATTTAATGTCATTATCTGTTTTCAGGAAATTGGGACTTGGAAAACCAAGGGCCACCATAGTATCTCTACAGCTGGCTGACAGATCAATTAAATATCCAAGAGTTATTGTGGAGGATGTGCTTGTCAAGGTAGATAAGGTTATTTTTCCTGTAGATTTTCTTGTGTTGGACATGGAAGAAGATGTTGAGATACCTCTCATTCTAGGATGACCATTTTTAGCCACAGGTAAGGAATTAATTCATGTGCAAAGAGGTGAGTTAATTCTTAGGGTAGGAGATGAAAAAGTAACATTTGATGTTTTTAAAACTATGAAACACCCTTTAGAAGATAACACATGTTTTAGAATTGATGCTTTTGATCCTTTGGTTCGTGAGTATTTTCAAGATAACAGGTATAAAGATCCATTGGAAACTTGCTTGGTTGATTCAAAAGAAGATGGAAGGGAGAATAAGCACTTAATTGAGATTGTAGCAAGTTTGGAAGCCAATCCACCTTATAAAAGGGTCATGCGACAAAAATCTAAAACATTGGAAAGGCCAATATTGTCTCGAACAAAGCCCTCAATTGAAGAGCCACCAAATCTTGAACTGAAACCCTTACCTACTCATTTAAAATATGTATTTTTTGATGAGTCTTCTTCTTTACCTGTTATTATTTCATCTTCTTTAATAGGTTTGATGGAAGAGAAATTATGAAGGGTGTTGAAGGAGCATTTGGCTAGACAATAGCTGACATAAAGGGAATAAATCTTTCGATTTGCATGCACAAAATTCTCATGGAAGACAGCTACAAGCCGACAGTTCAGCCTCAAAGGAGACTCAACCTGAGCATGCAAGAAGTGGTAAAGAAAGAGGTGATTAAACTACTCGATGTAGGTATTATCAACCCTATCTCAGATAGTTTATGGGTAAGTCCTGTTCAAGTAGTACCGAAAAAAGGAGGTATGACTATGGTGAAAAATGAAAATAACGAATTGATACCTACTAGGACAATCACAGGTTGGAGAGTGTGCATATATTATAGAAAATTAAATGATGCCATTAGGAAAGACCACTTCCCTTTACCCTTTATTGATTAGATGTTAGAGAGACTTGTTGGGCATGAGTTTTATTGTTTTCTTAATGGGTATTCTGGGTATAACCAAATAGCTATAGCTCCAGAGGATCAAGAGAAAACCACTCTCACTTGTCCTTATGGCACATTTGCATTTAGGAGGATGCCTTTTGGTTTATGCAATGCACCTGCCACTTTTCAAAGATACATGATGTCTATTTTTCATGATATGGTACAAGAATTTTTTGAAATTTTTATAGATGATTTTTCAGTTTTTGGTTCCTCTTTCGATGCATGTTTGAATAACTTGGCTTTAGTTTTACAAAGATGTAAAGACACTAACCTAGTTTTAAATTGGGAGAAGTGTCATTTTATGGTGCACAAAGGAATAGTTTTGGATCATAAAATCTCCCAAAGGGGGATTGAAGTGGATGCAAAGGTGGAAGTGATTGAAAAATTACCCCCACCTACATCAATGAAGGCCGTGAGGAGTTTCTTTGGATACGCAGGATTTTACAGACGATTTATTAAAGATTTTTCTAAAATTTCAATGCCTCAGTCTAATTTATTAATTAAAGATACTCCTTTTGATTTGAATGCTGACTATTTGCAATCCTTCCTCATTCTGAAGGAGAAGCTTGTCACATCACCAATTATGGTGGCACCTGACTGGAGTTTTCCATTTAAATTGACGTGTGATGCTAGTGATGTAGCTATTGGTGCTGTCCTCGGTAAAAAAAAAAACAAGGTATTCCAAACTATATACTATGCTTGTCGGACTTTAAATGTGACTCAACAAAATTATGCAACCACTAAAAAGGAACTTCTAGTGGTAGTATTTGCATTTGAAAATTTTTATTCATACCTTGTTTTGAGTAAAGTAATTGTCTACACTGACCATTCAGCCTTGAGATATTTACTTGATAAGAAAGATGTCAAACCTAGGTTAATTAGATGGATTTTGTTGTTACAAGAATTTGACCTAGAAATTAGGGATAAGAAAGGTGTAGAGAATGTGGTTATTGGCCATTTATCTAGGATAGAAGACACAAATCCTAAAAAAGGAGATGAAATACCCATAAGAGAGGAGTTTTTTGATGAACAATTATTTGCCATTTTAAATGCGTCTATTCCATGGTATGCACATTGTATTGTCACGGGTGTTCTTCCTTTAAATCTTACTTTTCACCAATGAAAGAATTTTTTGTCTGATTTTAAGCATTATTTGTGGGAAGAATCATATTTGTTCAAAGTTTGTGTAGATTAGAGTATCTGATGATGCATGCCTGAGGAGGAGATGACATCCATTTTACATCACTACCATGATAGAGAGGGAGGTGGCCACTTTGGCCCAACCAAGACAGCTGCAAAGGTACTACAAGCAGGTTTTTACTGGCCTACGTTGTTTAATGATGCTTATGCTTATGTAGCGTCTTGTGATAGGTGCCAAAGAACAACGAATATAACTAGGAAACATGAGATGCCCTTGAACAATATTATTGAATGTGAATTATTTGATGTTTGGGGGATAGACTTTATGGGACCTTTTCCTAATTCATTTTCCAATAAATACATCCTTGTGGTAGTCGACTATGTTTCTAAGTGGGTGGAAGTTGAGGCATTTAGAACAAATGATGCTAGGGTGGTTTTTAAATTTTTAAAGAAACATATATTTACTAGATTTGGCACCCCTAGGGCAATTATTAGTGATGGTGGGACACATTTTTATAATAAACAGTTTGATAATCTTTTGAACAAATATGGGATCACATATAAGGTTGTCACTCCTTATCACCCACAAACTAGTGGTCAAGTAGAGGTATCTAATACGGAACCTAAACGAATTTTAGAAAAAATTGTTACCACTAGAAAAGATTGGTCTTTGCAGTTGGATGATGCATTGTGGGCATATAGAACAACATTTAAAACCCCCATGGGTATGTCCCTATATAGACTAGGTTTTAGAAAAGCATGTCATCTCCCTGTTGAACTTGAGCATCATGCTTATTGGGCTACAAAATTTCTTAACTTTGATATGCAAGCTATAGGTGAAAACAGGTTACCGTAATTGAATGAGATGGATGAATTTCGGAGTCAAGCTTATGAGAATGCGAAGATCTATAAAGAGAGAACAAAAAAATGGCATGACAAGCATATCACAAAAAGAGAGTTCGTTAAAGGGGAAATGGTGTTGCTCTATAATTCTAGACTCAAACTTTTTTCCAGGTAAGTTAAGGTCCAACTGGTCAGGACCTTTCACGGTCACCAAGGTGTTTCCTTCTAGTGCCATTGAGATTTCCCACGAGGAGAAATGCACGTTCAAGGTGAATGGACAGCGTCTCAAGCATTATGAAGATGAAGGATGGAAAAAAGATAAGATTTCCATGGCATTGAATGAACTTGAATAAGCAAGCGCAAAAAGTCAAGCTAACGACTTTAAATTAGAACTTTATTTTATTTTATTTTTATTTGTCTTTTATATTTTTGCCTTTTTTTATTCTTTCTTTGCTACATTTTAATTCTGTTGTCGTTTTTTGTTTTGTTATCGTCGGAACAAGGAACGAGTTTGCGGGAAGCTTGAGTGATCAAAGAAGAAGACAATTTTGAGCAGAATAGAGCATGGCCTACCCTATGTCATTTTACACGGCCATGTCCCTTAAAAACAAAAAAAAAATTAGAGACTAGCGTCACCAGTGTCAATGATCGCCTACTCATTCTTGAAGCCAAATTTGACCACTATATGAGCCCAAATTCCTAGTTGTTTTGTCCTCTCAATTTAGGGAAGTTTCTGTCTCTCATTTTCAGTTTTTTGGTTTTCTTCTCTTTGTTTTTTATGCATTGAGAACATTGCATTTTTAAAGTTTAAGGGAGTGGGCAATTTGATTTGTGTTGCATTGTTGATGGTCCATTTCTTTGTGTTGGTGTGTTTGTTTTTAGGAAGTGTTTATTTTATTTGTGTTTTTGGTTTTTATTTTGCTTTTGTTTTTGTTGCATGGTGTTTATTGTGTTTGTGCTTTTGACACAATCCCAAGCGAAACTTAGTGGAGTCCCTAATTTTTTTTTTTTTTTATTTTTTTATTTTTTTATTTTTTGTGATGAACTTGAAATCATTTGGAGTAGTGGTGCTTTAGTTATTGAAATGATTTGAACATACTTATACTTAGGAATGCTGAAGAGTATGCGAGTCTGGATGGTTGTGCAATTTCTAGTTTTTACTTGCTTTGTTGTGTACTAGTTGAGACTTGTCTTCACTCTCTTGAAAAAAAAAACCGCATTTATAGTTTCTATGTTTGAATAAACTACTTTTTTGTTTTGACTGCTTAGTAACAGGAGTATTCATGAGATCATGTTTCTTTTGTGTCAAACCATGGCTAGAATTGTGATTATGCAAAGCACTTTAGGTGTTGTGAATTGCTAAGTAATCGGGGCAACCATCATCAATGGGTGCATTCGCATAAAAGTATGTGACAATCTGATGACTCATTGAAAAAAAGAAAAGAGAAAAAAGTAAAAGGAAAAAAAATATTAGGGGTTAAGTATAAAGTCTTGGTAAGGCATGATCTTGTTAGGGAAGATTAGAGTTGCACAATTAGTTGGGTTGTATTTTTGGAAGCATGAATTTCATTTAAAACAGTGTGTTTTCTTTCCTGGTCTTGGAACCGTCGCATTCGTGATGATTGTTGAGTTTGTTTTTCTAATATTCTCTTAACTCGGGAGGCAAAGGATTAAGTTTGGGGAGTTGATAAGTTGCTATTTAGTGTTTTTAGGTTTTGTTTTATAGCCTTCTAGTAATTTCTCATTTGTTTTCTTTGTTTTGATGTTAGTTTTTCATTAAGTTTGAGATGTGAATGGTCAGCTATTGATTTGGAGAATTTTGTGATTTTCAGGCTTTAATGAGTAGAGTGGAGCTTGGAATAAGAGATTCAAAGCTTGAAGAAATTAAGATTACTAACAATTTTGAAGGCGATGCCTGCCTTGGCGTTCACCACGGCCATGGTTGGAATGAGAATAAATATCAGGATAGGAGCACCATTGCCTAGGCCTTGGTGACGTACATTTGGACACGGCCAAGGCCGTGTTGGACACTTTTAGGGTTTTTTTTTTTTTTTTAGTTTTTCTTTTCTTGTTTTCTTATGACTCTTTTGGGTATTTAAGT